TGGATTCGCGCGAAAGAATGGAGCTGCAGTGGCCACATGAAGCAGAGGAGGTTCTCGCGGATTGTAGCTCTGAGCCCAATCATAATTTGCCGGGACCAACTTCTTCAATCTTTCCAGGTCGCCACGTTCCACGCAAGTGCGAAGCACCCGAGTGATGTGTTTCTTGTTCTGCTTCTCTGGGTCGGCTGCCTGCCGGTCCTCTTCCTCCCGTTTCCACCAACTCATCCAGGCCAACATATCCACAATGCTTTGGGCTGCCTGTTGCTACGTTCTTAAGCCAAAAGCTCGACTCATTTCAGGGCTCCAATGCCTCTGATCGCGCTTTTATTCCTTATGTCTTGAGTAGTTCATACCTAGAGAGCAAGGCACAAAACAAATCATTGCTCATGCATCCCATTTTGGGAAGGCGCTGAATAGCATGATTCAGATGTGGATACGACCCGAGATGCTCTGCGCAGAGTTGTAAGTACGAGTATGTACTGTTGGATAAGCTGATTTGGCCAGCATCACCTCTATCGCAGTAAGGTGCAATAAGGAACTCGTCAGAAAATGGGAATCTCTTGGTACTGCTTTTCAGACTTTTTACTTTTGAAAAGCCCTATGGTATTGCTCCATATACAGGGCACCAGAACCCTGAACTCTACACTCTGCCGGGCCGTGGACTGCCAGGTCAGCCACCTTCACCTGGCCACCGAGCGCTACGTCCAGGCAGGGTCATAACGTCTTGGATTTCGGTTCGCTCCGAAGCTGAAAGCTTGGGGTTTAGGCTCAATGAAGAAGGGTCAAGGCCTCCGGCTTTGTGTTCAAGATTTGCTGGCGCCAGCCGAGGCGCTTTCCCTTTGTGCACAGACGACGCATCACACCCGCGCTGGCGTTCCACCCAAATCAGAACCAAGGAAACTGTTTTTCTTAGCTTGACTTGGTGTTGGAGCTTGCCGCTCAGGCTGTATGAGGCCTTTCAAGATGCATGTTCTAAGAAGCCTTGAGTTCTACAACGGCCATAAATTATATGGATCCGATGTTGGGTTCAGAATGTCTGCAAGTCTAGAAAAGGGCATAGGAAACATGTCAAACGGCGTCCTTTACAGATACACAATCAGAAAGGCAGGGATTTGGTTTGTGAGCGGCTTGTGAAAAGAGCCGTGGTCTTCGGGCAGCCCGAGAAGCTCGCAAACCAAAATTCGTGAAAATATTCCATCTGGTCTGGAAGCGGCTGGAAAATGTCTAAATGCCAAATCCTGAAATTAAAATCCTGCATCCTCAACCCTTAACTGGCCAGAATTCCACTGCCAGCAGGCTTCGGTTTGAAGCGAAAGGTTTCCGGTTGAGGGTTTGGGTTTTAAAAAAATCAAGGCGTAGGGCTCTGGGTCTAGGCTTCCGGTTTCAGGCTTAAGGTTCAAGAGGGTCTGCTAAAAGCATGGGCTCTTTTTTTGTCTTACTGGCTGTGACTGTAGGTAGGGGGAATAATCATTTTTGGGGCACAGGGTTACATGATTAGGGGAGGCGATTCTCATGCTCATGACTAATGACTACTACCAGGTGCACGTCGAAAAAACCAGAGCCGGCTTCACTGGGTCGTTCATGTCGAAATGCTGGATGACCTGAAGGCTCCACAAGGCAAACATGAACGTCCCTACCCCTGGACTCCACTCTGTGCTCTAAACACCGATCATGAAACAGCAAAACAATTCCACAATTTACCTTTCTCGTACAAGGAGAACCTGACTAAACACTGTAATCCTTGTATTCATGAGGCCAATGGGCCACGTCTCACCCTTTCCTTGCCTGATCATGCTGCTCCCGGTGCAACGGCGATGCTACGAGGAGCTTCTTCAACAGCTGGATCTGACATCATGGGCATGTCGAGGGATGCGGGAAACGACTACATCTCCACAGGGGCTATGGAGGCCTGACTAGAATTAACGATCCCTCACGTAACTTCTCACAAAAAGACGCATATGATGGAAAGATGGGATCTAAATTCATCTCTCATTACAACGAGAAGTCTAGGAGTCTGCTCTCCCGCACATTCCTGCATTAAGGGCTGCAGCTGCAAAGAGGTAGAACAGTCTTGTAGTGATCGGCAAGCGTAGACCTCCTACCGTGGAGGGATGCAAACTTGAACCTCCCTACGTGCCTTGTACCCCGGAATTACATTCAAAGGGCCGTTTCGCGTTCAGCCTAATTTTGGGAGACCCCAATTTTGTGACACAGCTGCGACACAGCTTGCTGATTTGCATTAGCCATACAAGGCAGAAGTTTCCCTCTATAATCCTTTGTCTAGGGACTCCCAAACAGAGAATCCTACCTTATGCAAACCCCCAGCTTCAAGCATCCGGAACTCAAGGGATCGTCGGTCCGAGATTAAGGTTCGGGAGTATTGTCAGAACCTAAGTTAAGAAAGCCTACGAAAAAGCAAGACGGCATCGCGCAAGATCAGAAGGCCTACCCACCCTGCTTCCACCCTCCCTCCAAACCTTCGCACGCACACCTTGAAACTGTGAAACCTAATCCCCACATCCACTCAAAGCAATCCGGAACCGAAGGCACCAGGTCAACCAGCATGTTGTCTTTCACCTGTTTGTCCTCAAAGTCCTGCAGACTCACTTTGAACACAAAGGGCCACAGGTCTGAAAAAGGAAAGGGAATAGTGAGAAAAGCAATATTCACAAGACAAATACCTAGTCGGCAACTAAGCTATTCCGTGGCATGCCTGGTTGCCTTGAAGCTGACTTGTAGGGGTTCTTGCTTCCAGAAAAGAAAGCGACTCCATACCACCACCAAAACTCCAGCTCCCCATGAGCAAGGTTTCAACCCAAGGCTTCTCTGCAATCTTGCTCCTGGAGTGCAGGGAGGGCTTCGATGTGAACTGCCGGTAGGGCAACATGTGGCGACGGCCTGAGGTTTGAGACTCCGAGGCAAGGAGTGAGGGGGGGGAAAGTCGGCACATGGCTCTATGCTTATGTGCTCTTTTCATGATTTTTGCTGTGTCCAGACTACGATCATCACGGCCACCATTGTTGTTTTTGCTGCTTACATAGGTGCCTGTACTTTCAGATGTCGTTGTGTTTTTGCCAGTGCCGCCCGTAAAACCTATAGCCAAAAGTGCTTTGTATAGGTCGTGAACAAAAGATCACAACAGGTGACTCTTGTTGTTGGGGTGGTGCCAGCTTCTCCTGGGACAACTAGACCGAATCATGCCACGACTTGACGAGCTGATCATGTCACGGACTTCTTTCGACTCGCGAGACGGCTCCCCCTGCAGTTCTGGTTGTCAATCGCAGCGTCCCCGTGTTGGAGATTATCTCCACTACCTTAGCAAAGCATAGCAAGAGACACATGACTCGACTATGAAGCATACTTCAGCGGCCAGTGATGATGGCTCAAACCTAGCCGTGGCATCCATTCCTCCGGAGATCTTGCCAACACAGTTTCTTTGACACAAACACCTATTGAAGCTGGTAGCCAAACCTCACTCAAACATAAAATACGTAAATCCAGCGGGGACTTTTACGTTGTTGCAGAAGCCAGACCAAACTTAGGCCTAGAACGCATCAGCTTCTGGGAGATTAGTGGGGGTACGAGATTGGACGAGAACCTATAGAGGTTGCAGCTCCATGCAATCTCGTAAGTGAGGAGATACGGATACAAAACAAGATGTTGCAGGGAAGAAAGCACTGACGGCAAGGTCTCTCATGTATAGACTAGTGCGACTATTGCGGGACTTCGGGCTTCCGCAGGCCACGTAGAGGCGCCCCCCTGCAAGCCTTCTTTCCCATAGAATCTTGCGACCATGCCCAGATCCGAGACGCCCGAACTTGGATCTCCTGCCCACGAACCACCTGTCAGACACCAAAGGCAACTGAAAATAGGAATTTGTCTGCAAAGCACCTTCCAGAATGTGACAACAGCAAGGTCAGACATGGAAAAAGGACGGAATCTCCCTTCCCATTTCGGGGATCCGGGGCACCTTGTTTAGAAGCATGCTTGGCCTCGTCCGGCTGTGGCAGCTGCGACTTGTGCAGCATGCCCTGGACGAGTCCTGCTTCGAGGCAGTTTGTGGAGGTGAGGGCTCGTTACACCCCTTCCACCCCTTCTAACTGATAGTGCTCATACCGTTCCAAAGAGATTATACCCTGAGACCCCTTTGTTTGTTGTTGATTAGTGGGTACTTGTGCTCCTGGAGTCTGGCGCTATCAGCCTGTCGTCAACAGATGGTCAAGCACGGCCGCTGCAGCCAAGACACGGCTAGGGCACCTGGGCTTAAGATGTCCGAAACCCTTACCCGGAACCTACCTGTTGCACTCGGTCTCGTGCCTCCTCCGTCAGGGACCTCCACATCGACGAAGACGGACCAGTAGGAAGTGAAGCGTACAGTGGCTGTAAACCATTCCGATGTCCTGACGAGTCACTTGGAAGCATACATTGTCTCTGTCCGGAGTCTTGGCCATCCTATCTCTGAGAACCTCGCACTTGAAAAGCCTTAGCATCACGCTAATGGTTTGAACAATGCCTTGGCTGCTTTCCTTTCGGTATGATGCCCCTGCAACCCTGTACTTCTCGTCATCCAGACTTCTTCTGACATGGTGCTCTGTGGAGGTGTTCTTCGCGATATTCGCACTACCATTTTGGAATGTGTGATTTGCACCAGGCACGCTGAAACTACCACTCCTGCGCTGACTTTCCTGCAGGCTTCTATAGGACTCACCCAGGACACTGCCTTGCCTCACGCGCTGAAACGCCAGGAGGGGGTCCTGCAGCATGACAAGACTCGGCTCTGCACCAAAAAGCAACTGGCAGTACTCCAAACTCAGGATCCCCTTCAGCAGCCCTCGTGATGTTGGATTACTTCGGGTTTGCAAATAGCATACGAGGCCTAAATTTTAAGAAATGCCCACGTGAATCTCACAGCCAGGTTGCTGAATCCCTAAACCCTGATCCCTGAAGCGTGAATCCTAAACCCCATTCGTCATCCTTCAGCTTCGAGACCGGGTATTCAATCATGGAAAGGCCGACTTTGCCGTCTGGCGCGATGCGATACACCTCAGCTCAGCTAGGGTGCCAGGGCTTTGGATGACGGCGCATATCAAGCCTCATGCTCAAGAGCAACAGGCACTTGCTTATGCATTCACAAGCCAAATATCGATATGTGTACTCGCTCGTGTAAACGCGCAAAGGAACGAGGTGAGCTGACAATCCTGCATCTAACATTTGCTTTGTTTTGTTGCCTCGAACACCCTACACACAATGATCTGTCAGCCAAGCTTCCCACACATCCACCTCCTGCAGGGCAAGACGTTATCCTCTCATCCGCGGACCGGCCCTCACCAACCCCTAGGTTTGAGTCCCCAAAGCCCGAATAGGCGGCAGCTTCGCGTCCTGTCCCACGGAAACTACCTCGCTGGCATCGTTGAGGAAGCCTCAGCGAGAGGTGTCTCTTGGTGCTTTATCAAATTCACCATTTTCTTTATAGGGCACTCCTAAAGCAAAAGAAAAGATATTCTGATACTTACTCTAGTGCTTGGCTAGAACAACTGTCTTCTGGCATGGCAATCAAGCAGCAGACTACATAGTATCCTCATTTTTCCCCGACAAGGACAGACATGTCGCCCAACTGTCCACACACACCCAAAAAAGTGCTATAAGCCATGCATACTTCCCATCATATTCGGAGCAAAATCCATGACATGATCAAGTGACGTTCAGCCATTCGCGAAATTCGCATCAAACAAGTTGACTCGAGGCCTGGCGGGGGAAGTTTGATGTGCAAGGTTGAGGTGTACAGAGTCTTGGGCTTGGCTATAGGTTTAGTGTATTTGGGGCTCTAGGCACGATCCGCAGAGGCAAGCCTGACATGGAGACCTCTCATACGTCGAGTGCTTACTGTAGAGGCCGAGAGAATTAAACCTGAATTTCGGGATGTTCCTGCAAGGAAACATGGGAAGATTGTTGTCAATATTTACTTTCGGGTTTATGGTCCAGGTTGGATTTGAGATTAAGCGCTTTTGGTGATGTGCGACTGCTGGCCGGCAGGTTGAAGTGCACCTTGGCACTGGGAGCTTTTGATCAAGAAGTGTTGGACAGACAGATCGCGTCCTCTTGGAATCGCCAAATCTTAAAGGCACGAACCCTGCTTAGACCCTAGCCTGACTCAACCGCCACCCTTCACCCTGAAGTTCAGGGCTCAAGCCACTCTGACTTCCATGCACTCGCCGAGCCTCTAAACCGCAGAAACCCCTAGACCCCCCAAACACAAAGAAAGACCCCAAGAATCCGGCCCCTGGCCTATGTCAACGAAAGCTCCCCACCTTGATAGCCGGCGCACCGACCTCAGCTGTGGCGGAGGAAAGCAGAGCTTAGGGTTTAACTTATTGGGTTCCGGTAAGAAACATTGCAAGAACTTTGGCTGAGGATCTCACATAAAGGTGCTCTGAAACTTGACGAGGTCATAAAAGTTCCGGAGTCTGGCTTCGGGCCTAAATAATGAAACTAAGGTAAGTATTCACGGCGTAAGCTTTACAACACATGTGGGGCATACTACGTGTACACAAGGACCTACTAGTTGCTATTCGGAGCCGACCGCTTGCATCTACAACTGCTGCTGCCTGGGAATAAAAAAAGTGTGAGCCCATGTATGGGAACTATAAAGCATGTTGTCCAAAGTACACGGAAAAAATTGCGGAGATCTGCTTTCGTCAAGAGTCTGCAAGACAGGGATCGGGGATGGTCTAAAACAGCGAAAGCCCTGCATTCAAAAATGTGAACCTACAATGGTCTGTAGCAACAAACAAGCGGCCCGTGGATCTTTTGGCCCACGCGGAGGCTCTCCAAAGATACCTCGGTGGAGCTGGGAAACGTTGAAGTATTGGGTTCATGCAAGATATCCCCCAAACCTTGAAACCTGAAACCTAAACCCTTGAGCGTGTTAACCCTTTCACCTAAGCGTCCTCCTAGCTCAGTTGTCAATGAAGCTGACATTCGAATTGAAACCTGTTACGTGCATGGCGCGGAGTTCAGGGTGTTGTTAGTCTGGTTCCTGTCCTTCCTTCTTGCATTGCTGGGAGCACGCAATGCCATCTGGCTTGTCCTACGAGGCGTAGGGACAGTACCGCAAGGCCCTCCACGACTTTACGCATCGTCGCGGAAAACAAGGCAGGGCGTGTGCAGGATGGTTGTCAACTTACATGGCTATATCTCGAATCGAGCTTCTCCTCATAAACCCAAGAAGACTCAAACCTACTGTATGAAGTTTCGAGAAGCACCTCGCATCCAGTGTGATAGTCAGAATTGTCCTTGCATAAACCTTGATTGCAAGCCCACCGAATATTTTTATGTTATCCCTGTATAGTTGGCATGTAGTCCTTGATAAGCTTTGGATTTAATGCTCGCATGCTGCTCTCAAATTGCCAAAAAGCTCCATAGCTTCAGGAGCCCCATCTACCTAACCATCTTAACCTCACACCGCCTTACATACTTATCATCGTTACGATGCAGTGATATGACCCTCTAAGCAGAAAGACGGAGACCCATAATTGTCAGGAGCTCTCCCAAAGCCGAGAAACTCCAACACCAAGACGAGGCAACGCATAACTCCCTACTCCTCAAAGCCTTGAGCCTGAACCAGGGTCATAGGTGCGACATGACCCCTGTTGCCTATCACGCCCAGCAAAAGCACTCATCTGGGAGTTTCTCAAGACTAGGGTCCACTTACACATGCTGAAATATTACACAAACCCCAAACGAGCGCATCATGCAAAAAGAGACTCCTTTGCAGCCGCGTTTACCTCACCCGGCTTCAACACCTTCGCATCCACCGCCTCACTCTCCAAAGCTTTGGCGAGTGGTGGCGACGCATCAGCTGCCTGCCGTGCAGAGGACAATGACCACCGTCATCACTAGCGGCAGCATCAGAATGATAGTAGCAGTAGTATGGGTAACAGAAGGGCTGGCAGCAGCAGCAGCAGAATCAGCGGGCACAGCCCTCCATGTCGTCAGGGTCGCAGTCGTAATTGTCTTCGTCATATTTCGTCATCATCTGCTACGATTGGTGGTGGTACTGGTGGTACTGGTGGTGGTGGTGGTGGTGGTGGTGGTGGTGGTGGTGGTGGTGGTGGTGGCGGCGGCGGCGGTGGCGGCGGCGGTGGTGGTGGTGGTCATCATGAATACCTAAAACCTAAAGCCCTGAAATCCTGATTCCCGGGAGGCCTCCAGTCGCGCGGCGAGCACCGCCTTGCGCCCCGAGACCGGCAAACCACGCTCGCGGAGCGCCGCTTTGAGGTGGGCCACCTGAACATGCTGGGCTTTGCAGGGTGCAGGGTTTTAGGATTACATGTTTGGAGATTTGGGTTTAGCGTTTAGTTTTAAGGATTCGGGCTTTGGAGTTTGGAGATGATTTGGAGATTTGGACAGCGTTTGAAATTTGGTTTAGGCCGAGGGTTGTGGCTGGGACACGTCACCTCTGTAGCTCCCCCGGCTGGCGCAGGATTCCGATGAGCGACTGAGGGGTAGCAGGCTTAGGCAAATGGGTCTAGGAGGCGGGGGTAGGGAAACATTGAAGTTGAGAGACTAGGCTTGAGGGTTGCTTAGATTCTGCTCATAGTGCCGGGCTCATCCAATGATCACATGCAAGCAGCATTGCCTCAGGTAATCATAGTTACAGTTCCTTGGCTGCCTAGTGTGCATGTTCCACTTGATGTCGTCAAACAGCAACATCTTGCTGTTTGGGATTGTATCTTTAGCACCGTCTCTTCGAAGAACATGCAAGCGAATGGACGCCTCGGATCTAGAGCCAGCTTGGGCTTCAGCAGGCAAGCAAGTACTAAGAATTGACCAGAAGGGTCCCTTGATTCTCACATCCTGAGTCCACTTGAGCCACCCGCTGGCCATCGAGCTGTGCTGCTGCTGAGGCTTGTTTGGACTTCCACAACCCACAGCTTTTGAAGAAGACCTCCTACAATGATCAATTGGTGCTGCGACTTGAAGCTCCTATGCATCAACAGCTGTACACTGGAAACGTTGCTGCCTTCATCTGCAAGTATTGTGACGCAGCAGGTCCTGGGTTTTGCAGATCTGCATCGAGAACAGGCGACTGCAATGGCTACTGTTGCGATTGCTTATGCCACTGCTGCTACTGCTACGGCTTTCGCTGACACTGCCCTAACAAGGCCCTGACACCGGAGCAGTCACCAGAAGGAGAATTCGCAGCACTACGTTCACGAGCATCTGTACCAAGACCGAGGCATCTCTGACTGAAGTTCAACATCAGATTGTACGCCATGGACCGTGCAAGTCTATGCTGGCTCCCGAGATGCTCATCAAAACCGGTTCGCGCATCATCTGCCACAAAATTCTATGTGTAAAGCCCGTTGACCCTCCGTATGCGTATGGGATCCCGAGATATCCCGAGGAACCTTCCACATAGCGGTTTCCAAGAGCAGGAGGGCCTTAGGGAATAATCGAAGGGATCCTTATCGGGGATTAACTAAGGACAATCCGCCGACCTTGGGTGGCGTGTTGCATGGTTGCCGAAGGCGGAGAGGGTGAAAACCCTCTTCCTAGGCGGGGTATCCCGGCTTCGTTTCCCTC